ACACGGCCACCTCACTTGGTGGGAGAGAGAGAGGTAGGAAGGTGGGAAATTTCAAGGAGTGGTGATGAGGGGTGGAAGGGGCGAAAGAATGACTATGACGAGGGGCTGCTGAAGAGAGACGTGGTCAGGAAGGCTTTGCCCACTCTGGAGTGAAGGGAAGAGTCGATGCCACCTACACACCTTTGGCATCCCCCACTTTCTCCTAAATTCTTGATGCATGACAAGCCACCAACCTGCTCAGAAGCAAGTGAAAAGAGAGAAGCAAATCTAGAACTACCTAAACGTGAGTGTCAGCTTTGTAGGAGGTGGGGCTCGAGGAAACTCCTGAGTGACTCTGCAGTTGGCGTCCCCAAGGTGACATAATGTAAAGGAAAGTTCAAGGTTCAGTGTTGCAGAGTAATTTTACCACTCCGTTTTTGCATCCTAACTGGTGGCTTTCAAACCATCTTCTCTCAGCTGTCATCTTCTCCAAGGCATGAGAATGGGCAGCTTGGGGGCATTCTCTGGCCTCATTCCCTCTGGTGGATGAAGTGCCTTCTCCTTAAACCAGAACCATCTGTGAAAAATGACTGGGAGGCACAAAAAGTGCTGGAACCACAAGATTCCAGCTTTGGTTTTGGCTTTCTGGCAACAAAAGAGTAAAAACACAGTTCTCATTTCTCCAAATATTTCCTTCTCCACTGTCTGCTCTGGCCTGACTTCAGTCCCCGACAGGGCAGGGCTGATGCCTCTGTGGCCCACTCCCTCTGCTGCCTTTGGAGATATTGCTGGAATGCACATTAAAATCATGGTATTGGCTGGGAATAAAACGAGTTTTTCAAAAAGGACAAACTTCATAAATCCAGGCTTGTTCCTACACAGGTATATAGAAGAAACAGAAGAAATGTTTTTTCCTGTGTTTATGTCTTGCCAAGACGCAAAAATGAAAAACTATTTTTTTTTCCACAGAAGGTGTCTGTTAAGGGACTTGAAGTGAGTCCAGAGAAAGGCAGGTTGTGAGCTCTTAAAGTGTCTTTTTCATTATCAGCCAACAATGGCCATCCAGGTCCTCACACAGCATCTGCGCACATTGTTATCATCAGGAGCTGCCTGTGTGTCACCTGATGAAGACTACAGCTCGGGCCGATGGATGCGGTGGGACCAAGATATTTACAGAGATGACAGAGGGATGTTGGAAAATTCACTCTCCTCCACACCGCAGGAAGGTTTAAAGATCCAAACCAAACCAGAGCTCATTCAAGTGTTAGGAGACGTAAAATAATGCGGTTTGGGGTGCACACATGTTTTTAGCTATAAATACCTTTTAGATTGTTCCAATGCATTGAGCCAAAACCTAAATGCTGTGAGGTTTCAACCAACCGAATGGTTCCTTAAATAAACACTATGTGAGGACGAAAATTACCAAAGTGAATTTGAAAGAGGAGAGACGGACTAAATGGATGACCTGAAGTGAGGAGAGGTGTGTCCACGCCTTCCATAGCAAGCGTTAGCTGGGGGCTTTCAGTAGGCTGAGCTCTGGTCAGACTCATTCAGCTCCACGGCTGTGTTCACTCTTCCACCAGGAATCCCATGAGAAGGACACTGGTGCCTTGCACTGTAAAAAGGAAAAAGCCAAACCTCCAGGAAGTTTAAGAAAATCGGCTCCCAACTGGAAGTCAAGTTGGTCTGACTCCAAAGCCCGCCGTCCTTCATGGGACCCACTGCCCCCGTTCCATGGGTCTGTTTCTTCATAGGTATTACCTTTTCAGGGCAAAGGCACTGCCCCCTTCACCTAAGGCTCCTCGGTGTCAGGTGGCATCTGGGACACTGGACGTTGTCTGAGTTTCCCGGGGCTGCCATAGCAAATGACCATGGACCCGATGGCGAGACACAGCAAACATTTATTCTCTCACAGTTCTGGAAGTTAGAAGTCTAAAATCCAGGTGTCTTTGGGCCTCTCTCTGGCTTCTGGGGTTTACTACAAATCCCTGATGCTCCTTAGCTTGCAGACACATCACTCCCACCCGCCCTCCATCTTCACTTGGTATCCTCTCTGAGTCTGGGTTTGTCTTTTCTCCTCGTCCTAGAGGGGCAGCAAATCATATGGAATTCGGGCTCATTCTGATTTCCTGTGACATCATCCTAATTTGATTGCACCTGCGAAGACCCAACTTCTAGGTATGGTCACATTCACAGGTACCTGGGGCTAGGGCTCCAACATAATTTTGGTAGGACAAAAGTCAACCCATAATAGAGATAATAAACTCAGATTTCTTGAGTGAATAAAAAACCAAAACGATCCTCCAGTGGATGCAATGCTCTGGGAACCTCTCTGGGCACATCAGGTCCCTGAACGTTGCTGCTCTATTTTCCTCCCATCACCTGAAGAAACCAGCCAGGCTGCCAAAGCTCACACCATGCTGGGACATCCTGTAGCCTGATGGAGTAAGAGAAACCTCTTCACCTGTAAGGATCACACCCCATTCCCTTTCTCCCAACAACAAAAAAAAAAACAGGTCACTTTTACCACTGCACAATGGAGGCAGAAACTTCCAGAAAGAGTAAAAACATGAATCTAAGAGCCACTTTTTGGTCTATGACTCAGAGTACAGGAAGAATGCCTGTTATCCTGAAAAAAATTCACTCAGCAGGAGTAAACACTAAAACTGATCACATTTTTAAATGTCGCAATTACCTGTATAATACTGATCAACCAATGACATTATCAAGAAATACCAGCTTAGGCTTCTACTACTTGGCTATAAAATCTTTCTTGTTTTGTTTTTTAATAACTGATTTTTCAAGAATGTTATATTTATAAACACACGTATATTTTATGTCCTATCTCCAAGATAGCTCCACATGAGAACGTTACTAGCCAAGGAGCCAACATCAACAAAAATGTATAAAAAGTGGTTAATGACGTCCACATTAAGGAAACAGGAGAAAGTAGCTAAGAAAATGTGAACTCATTGAGGAAATAAGCCTTTGCATATACTGTTAAATATAATTTCCACCAGGCGCATGAAGCACATGAGTAATTATAGACCAGGAAAAAGAAACTGATAACCTTTTCTCAGCATGGACACCACCTCCTTTGATTATGAGGCAGAGCTTTGAAGAGTTAAATGCCGTCTGCAAATGCCAGGGGGTGGCGTTGGTGCTGCCTGAACTGTTCCTCCGCACAGCCAGGGCTGCACATGAACCAGTTGCACAGGGGATATTTCCTCCTCCCTCTTCTTTCATCTCTGTGGAAATACATGTTTCATATAAGCCTGTGGTGCTTGGAACATGTTCCAAAGAACCCCGCGTTCTAACACCAAAATCAAAGAATGCTTGTCTTTTATCAGTTTGCAGCAAGAACAATAAGTAAACAAGCAGAAATTTCTCACTGATAAGTGTTATTCTATAATTTTTTCCTAAATATTTGGAACTCACTATCTCTAGCCTAATAGGAAGTACTGGAGATAATGCAGCAAAAGAGCATCGCATCCCCCCCAGGGCCCCCACCGTGCCAAGTGCAGGCCACCCCTCACTGCGCGCCAGGAGGGGTAAGGTCAGCTTGCATTTGCTTATCAGTCCAACCATCCCACCCTGAGGGTGATGACAGCAGGGGCCCTCTGGGCACCTGTGCTTATCCCAGACCCTGGCACCTGTGAGCTGACAGTGAGGGTTTGCTGTAAGAATGAGCAGATAAAAATGCAAATCAAAACCACAATGAGATATCACCTTGCACTCATTTGAATGGCCACCATCAGAAAACACACATACACACACACACACACACACACACAAATAACCATTGGCAAGGATGTGGAGAAGTTGAAACTCTTGTGCATTGCTAGTAAGAGCGTTAAATGGTGCAGTCATTGTGGAAAACAGTATGATGGTTCCTCAAAAGATTAAATCTAGAATTTCCACATGATCCAGAAATTCCCCTTTTGGGCAAATTTCCAAAAGAATTGAAAGCAGGGTCTCACACAGACACTCGTGCACTCATATTCACGGCAGAACTATTTACAACAGCCAAAAGGCGGAAGCATCCCAGGTGTTCATCAGTGGATCAATGGAGAAACAAAATGTGGCACATACCTACAATGGAATATTATTCAGTCTTGCAGAGGAAAGAAATTCTGACACACCACAACACAGATGAACCTTGAGGATGTTATCCTAAGTGAAGTAAACCAGGCCCAGAAAGACAAATATGGTATGATCGCACTTACATGAGGTCCCTAGAGTAGCCAAAATCATAGAAACGGAAAGTAGGCTGGTGGTTACCAGGTGAGGAGTGAGGAACTACTGGTAATAGGGACAGGGTTTCAGCCTGTGATGATGGAAAGAGCTCTGGATGGAAAGAGCTCTGGAGTTGGATGATGGCTGCACAACAATGTGAATATGTACCTAATGCCACTGAACGGCACACTTAAAAATGGTTAAATTGTAAATTTTATGTTAGGAATAGTTTACCTAAATTATTTAAAAAGAGGCAGATGATAAATGTCAACATTGAATAGCATTCTCTTGCAAGCACATGGCTTCTAGTAGCCCCACCACCTAACAAGCTTCAGAAACTTGACTGCAGTTGGTAAGGTACAACTGGTGGGTATTTTAAGAGTGTTAATTAAAAAAAAAAAAACTGTAACTAGATTTTAATACAGAGATCTAGAAAGCCAGAAAACACTGGCTTATATAATTCCACCGCTCAAATAATCCCAACTGACCATATTTCTTAAAGTAAAAATAATACCCTGCCCAGGATCAGGCTGCTCAGTGGTGTGCAAAGTTATAAAATGAAAAGTACACACATCTTTCCCTCCCTGGTCCCTCCCGCAAATGATAATCACTATTATCAGGTACTTAACACGTCCTTTTAAGAACAGCAACCACACACACTAAGCTTAGACTTAATGTCACGATGACACATACGTATGCACTTGAAATTTTTAATTTTCACTTGGCATGTTTGCCTTTACATTGTGTTTCTATACATTTTATTTTATATTTATATTTTTAAAATGTTAGTATGATGAGGATTCACTTCCTGGTCTGTGTTTCTGAAACACATGGTTCTGTGAAAGTTCTGATTTGTGGGGGGAAATGTTTACAATTTGGTCCATACGATGTGCATTTTACAGGATTTTAAATTTTCCCTTGAAAATATTTTTAGGGATTTTTCCATGTTAAGATATATGAAGCTACTTGGTGACTGTTTAGCATTCCTGATTAAACATTTAGGCTGCTTCTCAGCGTGTTGTTTTGTTTTCCTTTTGTTTATTTTCTTCACTCTAGCAAGTATTCATAGCAATGAAATTTGCAGATCAAAATATGGGCAATTTGTATTTTAACAGACATTGGTAAATTACAATCCATAATAGTAGCAACAACATGCACCCCCATAATTTGTGGTAATATCTGTTCCCCACCATCACCCAGTCACCAGCAGCACTTCCCCTGAGCTGGTGTTTTAATGTTTGCCTTCCTGAGGAAAAAACACAGTAATTCATAATTTTTATTTGCAGCTCCTTAACTAAGAGATATACTGAACATCTTTTAAATGTCCTTGTTCCTATTCTTTACTGGCCTTTCTATTAATTTATAAATGTCTTATTGATGGGCTCTTTAAAGATGAAGAAAATTAGCCTCTCATTTGTCATATCTGTTGCAGATCCATTCCCCAGATTTGTTTTCCTTTGAGCTCTCCTGTGCCAAACAGAAATGCAAAATTTGCCTATAGTCATATGTATATGTCTTTTCTTTTACAGCTTCTGGGGTTTCTTTGTTGCCTAGAGAGATTTTCGCTTCACCAAGTTTAAAAATAAACACACTCAAACTTTTAGGCAGGCTCTCTTTGATCTGTTTATACAAGGGTGAGCCAGTGGTATTGCCTTGAATGGGATAAGAGATAAGATCATGAATGGGAATGTTAAGGCCAGCTATTAAAATGGAAGGGAATAATACTTATTTCAATTAATTTTCAACAAGCATGACAAGACAATTCAGTAGGGGAAAGAAGTATATTTTCAACAAATGGCATTGGGACAACGGGATGTTTTACAAAACTGTTGTTTTAAAACAATATGTAAAATGTGAGGTTGGACCACTACGTCACTGGTGTCTCCTTTGGCCAAGTGTTTAAGGGTTGGATTTAAAGATAAGCAATTTCCTTTCACACAGAGAAGAATTCTCCACTGACTGTTTATGTATTTACGGCAATGACTGTCAGTAGTACATGCTACCTGGCAGATATTTTCCAAAAGGCAAAACATGCTTAATCTGTCTTTTCAAAATAAAGATAACATTTTAATAATGAGTAAGAAAGCAATCACTTTTCAAAGACTATTTCTACCATGGGGAGAGCATTTGAAAAACTGTATTTGGAAATGTTTCCATTGTTACACAATTTTGTTGCTGAAAACAATGTCTATTAAAAATACTGCTTATTTTTAAGTTATTATCTATATAGTTTACAAAATTTTTAAAAACATGTGAAGATTATTCCAACTATCTAAGCCTTCTGAACAAAGAGCTTGAAAAATTGAGTTCTAAACCTAAAAAAATCAACTCAAAATGGACCATATACCTAAATATAAAAGCTAAGGTTATTAAACTTCTAGAAGAAAACATAAGAGTGATTCTGTGTGTCTTTGGTTTAGGCAATGGTTTCAATCTACATATAACACTAAAAGCACAAGTGATAAAGGAAAAAACAGATAAATTGGAATTCATAAAAATTGAAAACTTTTGGGTTTCAAAGAACATCGTCATCAAGTGAACATATAACCCACAAAATGGGAAAAATTACTTGAAAATCACATTAATAAGAAATTTATATTCAGAATATACATACACATATATGTGTGTGTGTGTGTGTACATATATATATATTTTTTTTTCAATCTCATAAAATGTAACAACAAAAAGAACCCAATTTTTAAAAGGGCAAAGGATTTAAACAGACATCTCTATAAAGAAGATACATAAATGACCAATAAGCACATGAAAAAAATGCTCATCATCCTTAGCCAATAGGAAAATTCAAATAAAAAAATACAATGAAATACTACTTTATATCCACTGCAATGATGAAAATAAAGAAGACAGACAAAATACCAGTCCACAAAAGAAGTGTAAAGCAAAATGAAAAATAAAAAGTTTTGGCAACAGACACAGGGAAATGGAAACCCTCATTCATTGCTAGGTGGACCGTAGAATGGTAGAGTTACTTTGAAAAAACAGTTCAGCAATTCCTTAAAATATCAGGCAGAGTTACCACATGAACCAGCAATTCCATTGCTAGGTATATATCCAGGACATATGAAAACACATGCTATCATAAAAATCTATACATGAATGTTCACAGCAACATTATTCATAATAGCCACAAGATGGAAAAAATCCAAGGGTCTATCTACAGATGAATATGCAAACAAGGCATGGTATGTCCACATACTAGACTATTAGGCAGTGATAAAAAGGAATGGAATACTCATGAGTGCTACAACATGGATGAACCCCGAAAGCATCATGCTACATAAAAGAAACCGGTCACAAGAAACTACATCTTGTATAATTCCATTTATTTGAAATGTTCAGAATAGGCAATTTCATAGAGTCAGAAAGAGGATTTGTGGTTGCCTAGGGTTAAGTGGGGCCTGAGATAATGGGGAGTGATTCAATGCGTATAGGATTTCTTTCCAGGTGATAGAATTGTTTTACAGTGGTCATGATTGCACAAATCTCTAAATATGCTAAAAATCTCTAAATTGCATACTTTACAATGGTGAATTTTTTGGCACATAGATCATATATCAATGAAGTTGTTATTTACTTCGGCTTTATTTTGAAAAACAAGCAGTGGGCCATAGTTTGGCAACTTTTACACTAGTATGTAAACATCTATAAAATGTATTATGATAGAAACTGAAAACACTAGAGCTAATATGTGATAAGAAAGGAAAATGAGTGAGAAAGAGATGGGAGGTGAAGATCAGAAACTGACAGAGAGATGAAACATCTGAGAATGACTTCGGGAAACAAAAACCACCTTTCTTTCTTCTACATATACAGACCTGTAGATAAAATGCTTCATCGTCCAGGAAAAACATCAGGTTTGAAAGCAAGAACCTGGTGACGTCTGTCCCAGGCATCTGTGGAGTGGACCAGTAAGTAAGTCACCACACAGGTGTCGAAATTCAGTCTCACTGTTTCCTAAATGATGAGGCCTCAGCTGAGTCACTTGGTCACTCTGGACATCTGTTTCCTTCTCTCTAAAAGGGCAGTGATACCTATCTTTCCAATACGAAGCTTACTTAGAAAACACTTGGAAAATCCTGATACATTATAAAATATAAACATTATTAACAGAAAACAGATATTTCTCTGTTGGTGTGCCATGACTTATGGCTTGATTTTTTCTTAATATGAATTTAAATAAGCTCAGAGCGGAGTAAGAAATCAATATTCATCTTCCAAATTAAATTTGATACAATTCAATTTGACAGACAGAAGTTCCAGTTCAACCCATGTAATCCTCAGCAGTTTACGCATATTACCTGGGCCACAGTTTTCCCACCTGTGAAGTGGTACAATCAGATAATCTCTTTGGTGCCTCCCAGTTCTGCAGTTCAAAGATGTCAAAATGTTGCTTAGGCGTCAGATTCAGAATGTGCTTGTAATGAGTGCTGTAATGAGTAATGCACATGTAAAGCCCTTGTATTTTTTTAAGTGATTCCCAAAAGGAAAAAAAGTAAAGTTTTATAGGATACATGTGATCCCTGGAATAATAATAATAATAATAACTCTTTCAGCTTTGCTTATCATGTTTATTACAACTCGATGTTACTGTTATTGGTCCATTCTCACATGGCTAATAAAGGTATACCTGACACTCGGTAATTTATAAAGGAAAGAGTTTTAATTGACTCACAGTTCAGCAGGGTTGGGAGGCCTCAGGAAACTTACAATCATGGTGGAAGGGGAAGCAAACACATTCTTCTTTACATGGCAGCAGCAAAGAGAAGAATGAGCAAAGGGGGTGAAAAACCCCTAACGAAACCATCAGATCTCATGAGAACTCACTATCATGAGAACAGCAACACGGGGGTAACTGCCTCAGTTACCTCCCATTGGGTCCCTCCTATGACATGTGGGGATTATAGGAACTACAATTCAAGACGAGACATGGGTGGGGGCATGGCCAAATCATATCAGTAATTTTTAGGAATTTTATACGTATATAACAGAGCAGTGAATGGGATTATAACTAAATGAGAAAACTTACATCAGCACTGAACCAACTTCTGAGTCTGAGTATTGTGTTTTCGGGGCCCACTTTCCCCCAACCTCTCATTTTTCTCAAATTATTATTATTATTATTATTATTATTATTATTATTTGGCCTACCAGCCTCTGATCTCATATTGTCCTCTACGTGCCACTTCTTGTCAGATTTGTCACCAACACTCAGGTCTGACATGGTTGGCCCCAGCTTTCTTGTAGTTCTCCTCTTATTTGTCTTCACAGGGCCACACCTTCAGATTCAGACTTCCTACTTAGCATGGAAAGCACAGACACATCCTCACTTGCTATAGCATCTTACTCTGCTGGGCATTGGCTGCCATACTTGATTGCATTAGCTCCTGAGTTCCTCTCTCTCTTAGCATAGAGTAACTTAGGTGTGTGCCACAAAATCAGGTAAGGAAAGTAGCAGGCAGAGTCCTGGAAGCCAGAACATCAATTGCTGAATTGAGGCTGTACCATGGCCCGTCTCTGTGAATATTGTGGCAAGAAACATACTCAAAAAAGCACTGAAAAACTTTCATAAGGGAGATGTATATGGTGAGACACACAAAATGCATTCAAAAGGTAGTCTGGACTTGCCAGAGTCTCAAAGTCTTCTTTGAGGGAATTGAGAGGAGCTGGAAGGAAATGTTGAAAACACACATGTTCTGATCTTTGCCCATTTTAAGGTCACCCAACTAGTAGACTCTATGGATGTTCACAAAGAGGAGATGTATTTCTTCCGTAAAAAAAGTGAGAATGCTAAAGTGTCAACAAGTCTTTCCCCTTCTGGATACTGTCAGCTGCTA